CCACAAACAACGGAGTTGTTACGTCAGGCACTGATGGACTCGACTATTATGGAAGAATTGAGGAAATCTACGAACTATCATTCTATGGTTCCAAACCTCTTACTCCTATCATATTCAAATGCCACTGGTTTCATCCTAGAGTAATGAGACAGACCCCTAAGCTTGGGCTAGTCGAGATTCGATAGGATTCCGTCTATCCAGGAAAAGATGTCTACATTGTGGCTCAACAGGCCGTTCAGGTTTATTATACGTCATACGCGTGCAAAGACGCCGAGCATCTTAAGGGTTAGTCTATTGTGCACAAGGTATCGCCACACGGTAAACTACCTGTCCCAAACGATGAAGATTACAATTTCAACCCAAACACATATGATGGAGAGTTCTATCAAGAAGAGGGACTACAAGGAAGGTTTGACATAGACTTAACCGAAGAGATAGGAATGGAAGTAGACAATGAAAGGGATGATGACAAGGACGCTGGAGACAAGGTGCGAAATCTGAAGGACATACAAATGCTTGAGCGATTACGTTTAGGCAATGACAATGAAGACAACATTCCTCCTTCGGATAGTGTTGATGAGTTGGACAATGTTGATAGTGATGATGAGACCTATGATCCAGCTAATCTCAATCATGAAGATTATTTCTAATACATGTGATACTATGTTTTTTGTAATTATGTTTTGTTCATTTTTGCACCTATTTCTAATTACGTCTTGTTTTTCTTTTTTGTTGCAGGTGATTGAACAAAGATGGCGGGCGACCATCATAGGTCCGTGAACTCGATATACCAAAGACCACGCCGGCTACAGGAGGAGGCGGAGGGGGCGGCGGAGGGATCGGACAGGAGGATGAGGAGGACTGCCAGACGTAGGAGGGGGCTGTCTCCTCCCACACCGCGTGAGGAGGAGCCGAAGGAGGAGGTGGCACCCATGGACGAGTCGAACGATGAGCTGGTTCGACAGACGGACGAGGAGGAGGGGCCACACGAGGATGACGAGTTGGAGGCGGCAGGCACGGGTTCCGCTTCCTCTGACTCCTCTTCGAGTGTCTACTTGCGAGGTCCTGCGAGCCTTCCACATGTTCCGCTTCCTCACCAACGTCCAGTGATTCGCCCCGAAGGGCAAAAGTAAGTAACTTTATATGTTATCACCACTACTTCATATGATATGATGAAAAAAACTAATAATTTTTCTTAATCACTTGAGCAAGAACTAGGTGGTTGTGTCGGGTGGTAACGCACGGCTAGTCAATGGCATCCTGGGTCTTCTGTGCAGGCAACACTTCCCCAGCATTGTCACGTATGCATCGAAGATGGAGCCGGCCTACTCGTTTGACCACTACGTCGTCGCCACCGATGCGGAGTACCCCAACAAGGCGGCGCGGGTGAAGGCAGAGCTTTGGGTAAGTCTCCCTCGCACAACATTGCTCAATATGTCGCATTCATTGGACTTTTCTTGAAATAATGAATGGATAGATCGCTTTTGTATGCAGACTTATTACAGATGCAAGGAGGGATTTGAGGCCAGGGCAGAGCAGGTGACTACCAAAGACTGTAAAAAACTCGTCTCCGACATGCATCATGAGGTGCGCATCCAGGCCATCGTAACCTACTATGGGTTGAAGCTTGGAGAGAGGAAAACCAAGAAAGACGCAAGAGAGATGCAGCTGACCCGGGAGCAGTACCTTGAGGTAAATGAAGAACATCAATATTGATTCGTTTTGAGATTAAGTTGGTTTAATTTGATCTTCTTATATGTCCAATACTTGATGATGTGTAGATGATTCCCTGGTGGTGCCAAGTGTATCCCGAGTGCTGGGCGATGATGGTGGACAGGTGGTTCACGGAGGACTACCTCAAGATGCACAGGGATGCCCGGGACCGTCGTTTGTAGATGCAAGTTCCAGCACACCATCAAGGCAGCCGCAACCTCGCCGGATACAAAGAAGCATGGGTACGCGAATTCATTTATCTAGTGTGACGCTCAGTTCTGCCTGATTTCTAATCATCGTGCTGTATTTCTCCCAATCGGCGTCACATAGTGGTCAGGCTTGCTCGGACTTCCAGGCATGGTGTATGGCCCACAAGGGCAAGGCGACGTCCGACGTCTCCTTCAACCTGGAGGACCCGCCCGAGGCATACACGAACCCGAGCGTCCACTCCCGCATTAGTGATTACACTGAGGTGGCGAGGTCGCTCCATGGGTCAAACCATGATCTGAGCACCCAGGACTTCGATGGAGAGGCCGTCATGAGGGCGGGGCAAGGCAAGAAGCATGGGCGGTTCTAGCTTGGCGACGGCGTCATCGACACGTCCTCTACTCCCTTTCTCTCCCAGATCCAAGCACGGAGCACGAGCGAGAGCCCAGCCATTCGCACGTGGCCGACCGCTGCATAGCACCGGGTCGACGCACTTGAGGTTATTCCTGTTTTACTCGTCACACATTGATCTTTACACACCTAAATTAGCTTTGCATTACTGAAACATTGGAGTGAAATATTGCAGGCCTAGCTGGAACAAGAAATGAGGCAACGTCTGGAGCTGGAGGCCGGGCACCAAAGGATGGTGGCCCAGCTAGAGGCCGAGCAGGCCGAGCGAGAGGCCGAGCGGGCCGAGCGATAGGCCCAGACGCAGAGGCTGACGGACATTACAGAGTTCCTACAAGGACTTGGGCAACGTGTGGGCTTCTCTCTACCACCTGGGCTGTTGGTTCCACCTCCGCCTCCGCGTCCTGTAGCTACAGCTACTCCTGTGAGTATGAAAGTTTTTTACTTTCGCTTGTGCTTTGCTTGTATGGCCTCTACCTTCCTAGATTAGCTATCCAAATAATCTTGTCTCACATGCAATCTTTTCTCCTTTGTGCAGTCTCCATCTGACGGTGGCTCGAATAATCCACCTCATGCACCTTCGAATGATGGAGCTGGGCCTTCACCACAGTCGCCTTGGCCGAGATGAGTGCACGTTGTATTTTTTTCATTTGTTGTTCACTTTGTGATATACTTGTGATGCACTTGTGGACTTTGATGGACTTGTGAATTTGTTTAGATGGACTTGAGTACTTATTATTATATATGTGATATATATTGTGATGGATGTGATATGTGCGGATGGATGTGTGGATGGATGAGATATATATGTGATGGATGAGATATATATGTGATGGATGTTTGTATGAACTTATTTGTCATGATGGAATGTAAAAAAAAAAAAAATTACAGTTTTGGGTCACTTTGCCGAGTGTTGCACTCGGCAAAGGACCCTTTTGCCGAGTGCGATGGTCACAGCACTCGGCAAAGCTGGAAAAAATGGGTGTTCAGAAACCCATTTTTCTAGCTTTGCCGAGTGTTGTGACCATGGCACTCGGCAAAGAAATTTTTAAAAAAAATTCAAACTTTGCCGAGTGCCGGACAGAGGACACTCGGCAAAGAATTTTTTTTTAAAAAAAAATTCAAACTTTGCCGAGTGCCGGACAGATGGCACTCGGCAAAGAAATTTAAAAAAAAATCTTTGCCGAGTGCCGTACAGAGGGCACTCGGCAAAGAAATTTAAAAAAATAAAATAAAAATCTTTGCCGAGTGCTGTACAGAGGGCACTCGGCAAAGATATTTTTTTAAAAACAAATAAAAATATTTGCCAAGTCCCTGAAGGTTGGCACTCGGCAAAGAAATTTTGTAAAAAAAATATAAAAACTCTTTGCCGAGTGCCCGAAGGGTTGGCACCGGCAAAGAAATTAAAAAAATAAAAATAAAAAATCTTTGCCGAGTGTCTGTAGGGTTGGCACTCGACAAAGTGATCGTCAACGGGACCGGCGCTGTGACGGTCGCTTTTCTTTGCCGAGTGTCCCCGGAGCACTCGGCTAAGCCTTTGCCGAGTGTCCAATAAAAGACACTCGGCAAAGAGTGTTTTGCCGATCTATTTTTTACCGTGTGTTCTTTGCCGAGTGCCGCACTCGGCAAAGGCTTTGCTGAGTGCAATCTAACCTTTGCCGAGTGCCTCAGGCACTCGGCAAAAGCTAGAGGCACTCGGCAAAGAACCTGAATCTAGTAGTGAGCTATTAGTTGCGGACCTGATGGATGAGGCAGACAAACTCTAGACAGTCTTGTGTGTTACAACGACTTTACTAAGCACTGCTCCTTTGAAACCATGCCTGCTTTTGCCCTTTAACCTTCTTTACCTTTGAAAGAAATAATATCATGGAATCCTGCATGCTCCGGATGCAAGCAAAGAATCATCTGATATACAGTATTTGCCAAAGAAGCAAAGTTGGCTTATCTGGACTGGACCGCCGGCCATGTACACATCTCATCAGGCATCGCCTCTCCCTCTCACACACACACACTGCAGACACACATACAACCATCACTTATCCAGCTATCGTTTGGCTCAATCTTTAAGGCGGATTGTATTCTGCGAAATCTCCTGCATACTGGACGCCAGTCCCAGATAGATCACACTGAGGTATCTAACAACGTGACTACTCCCTGCTTCGATTGCAAATTAATATGTCCATCTATCTATCTGTAATATAGTGTGCATACACATAGGTTCAGAGCATGTTCAGATGCATGGAAATTATTAATTCCTGCATTAGCTAGCGCAAAATTTTGATTCATATATGTGTACTTGTGATGGTACTTGCAGGAATAATGTAAATGTGTACTAGCTAGCTAGTTGTTCATAAGAACGTAGCATTTTCATTCTTGTCATTTTTTACCTGTCCAGGCACGCGATGGGTTAGATTTGTAATCCAATCTGAAGCCACAGTTGCAGCAGCCTGGCATGGTATTGTGCATCAGTCCGTATATATGTCATGCATGGCGCTTCCTTCTTCGCCTGCTTCATTTCCTGCTTCCAAATGAAATGAAGATGGTTGCACGTTGCTAAGCTAGCTTTAGTACTATAGCAACATATATAAAGCTAGCTGAGAAGTGGACGAACTGAGGTGACCCCAGCCTGGTTGGTGCTGATTACTGGTTGGTCCAATCCAGCCCAGTCGATCATGCGTACTGAGGTAATAATAAATTTAAACCATGCAGTTACCATGCTCGATTTCCATTTTTCACCTCTATATATCTATTTTAATTTACATACAACAGTAATAATGTTGCTGGCATCCGAATCCACAAGGAAATTATAACTGCGCGCATGCTTATCTTAGAGTAGCTGACCAAATAAAACAATACATGTGCACTATGATTGATATGTACATGTGGATGCTGCAGGTTATCAAAGCGGACAGCATTGATGCGGCTGCTGAGCGGATTCTTGATGAGCTCAAGGAAGACGACGCTACTACTGCTCGAAGCATCAGCAGCAGGAACAATGTCATCTACTTCGACGGCTGGGACGGGCTGGGTGCATCCGCCGTCCTCCGAGCCGTGGCCCAGCGCCTCACCGTGGCTTCGTCCGAGGCCCCGGCAGGACTGCAGTTTGATCAGATCATCCACATCGACTGCGCCAAGTGGGAGAGCAGGAGAGCACTTCAGCGGGCGATCGCGGAGCACCTGAAACTCCCTGCCCATGTGATGGACATGTTCGACACGCAAGATGCAGAGGACGATTACAACGGGGTGGCCAAGGAGTCTCGTGCTGAGATACCACAGATCGTCAGGGAGATGTATGGACACGTAACTAAAGTCCTGTTGATTTTCCACAATGGGAGCGACGAGGAGATCGACATGGCCAGTTTCTGTGGCTTCCCTCTGTCCGGATACTCAACCAACAAGATCCTGTGGACATTCCAAGGGAGATTTCGGATGTGCCCCAGGATAAAAGTTGATAGGGCCTTCAACAAGGACACCGCACAAGGGGCTGCCACTGATGTTTTCCTCTCAGCGGTTACAGAGCGAGAATCACAGGTGTCGTACCTTGTGCTACAAGAGGCTGCAGACCTAGTAGCTGCAGTTGCAGCAGGCAAGAGCAATAACGGCCATGGCCTTGTTGGCTCTGGCGGCATCATACAGATACAGCTACAACAGGGACACAGTGACATCGGCAGTGATGAAGATGATGACGCACCATGGCAAGCTGCTGATAATCTGCAGCGTGAGATGCTATTGGATGTGGAATACTGGCGACAATCTTTGCCCTCTTGCCTGGTAAGGTGTGGGGACAGAATTGCCAGCATGCCATACTGGACCTCACCACCTCACGAGGCTCTGCTTTCCCCACTCGGAGGCATGTTCCAGCAATTCGACAAACTTGGCGTGCTGAAGCTGTCACGATGCACCTTCAGCTTCTTGTCACCTCCATTTCACTCATGCAACAACCTGAGGGTTTTATGGCTCGACCACTGCAAGGACCAAGTAATCTTCATGGATGGGGCTCCAGAGGACGTCCGCCGATTATTCCAGAGGTTATGGGTATTGGACGTTTGTTACTCACGCTGTGACCGGATCTTGTCTGCTCAGATGATTGCTATGATGACTCAGCTCAGGGAGCTTAATGTGGTGGGAGCCCATGATTGGGATATCGGCCAGCTGCAGGGCCGACTGCCTAACATCCGCAAGCTCCGAGTGACAAAGTCAACAGTAGGCTGCAATAGTTGCTCGGAAAGTAACTTGTTGTTGGGAATGAACAAGATGGAGCTTCTTGACTTTTCAGGAAACCGTACCAAGCAAGAAGGAGGTGTAGCAGCAAACTTATCTGGGATAAGCACTAGCAGCAACCAGCTTGAGACTGTGATAATTATTGATGGGTGTGTTGGGATACAAAAGTTCTCCTTCAGGGGATGTGCTAAACTGAAGAATCTGCTGTTGAGTGGATTGTTTGAGGATCTCTGTACCCTAGACTTGTCAGGCACAGCAGTCAAAACATTGGACCTCAGTGCCATGACAGCCCGAAGCCTGGATGAGCTCATTCTGGATAACTGCGACAAGCTTTGTGCAATCCTGTGGCCACCAGAAGACAAAAGGAGAAGTGAAGACAAAAGGAGAAGTTACTTAAAGAAGCTGCTCATTGACACCACCCAATCAGGATCAACTTCCAGAAGCGGGGAAGGAAAATCGAAGGCTGGTAGCACTGCTGCAACAGAATCTTCATCATTATCATGGCCCATGGTACTGGTGCATGGTGCTCGAGCACCCTCTCAATTTGATTGGTATATTTCTATAAAGGACGCAAGGCTGCTCAGGTCATTTGTGCCATCTCTTGAAGAATACTTTAGAAACAATTGGGTGCACCTGGAGATTTCCTCTCCAAGATGTTGTCCCGCAGTCGATGTTGGCAGTAGCGAAAGTGAAGGAATGAAGAACCAAACTGGAGAAGAGCCACAAGTAGTGGTATCAAACAGCCGGCAGCGGAAGCCCCAATACAATAATAATAATAATGGTGCATCAATGCATTATGCCGATGTTGCTACCATCGTAGTTGAGGAACACCTGCTTCAAGGAGGCGAAGGCAATGGTAATGATGCCCCAACCATCACAAGGACATGGCCTTGCCCTCCCCCTTTTCCACGTCTAGACTCCTCTGACTGTTACCTGTACACAGAAGACCAGCAGATGAAGACAAAAACAGACGGTGGTACTATTGCTACTATACCAAGTATTATATGTGATCGTGCTTCCATCCTGCACGTGCATGACAGCCTGTACAACACAAGTATACCCGGGCCTGCGCGATGGGATTATCTACGGTGGTACCGGGTGGAGCGGTGCCCCAGGTTGGACTTCATCTTTACAGCTCCCCAGTTATTAGGAGGTGGAAGCAACGTGTGCATGTGTTGGTACCTAAGAACATTCTGGGCATCCCAGCTCCCCAGGACACGCTTCATGTGGGATACGAGCAAACTGCCCTTAAGCCAGATTGAGGACCGTTCATTTGAGGACCTGACACTGTTGCACCTTGACTTGTGCCCCAGGCTCATACATGTACTCCCCTTCTCGTCATCAGTATCTAGTTGGCGCTTACTGGAGACCATCGAGATTGTGTGGTGTGGTGATCTCAGGGTGGTCTTCCCATTATTAGACACCAACAACACCAGGAGCCACCAAGAGCAGCAGCAGAAGCCACCAGGAGCAATGATAACAATGGTGGATTTCCCATATTTGAAGCATATCCACCTGCACGAGCTGCCCATGATGGAAAGCATCTGCGGGCTTGGGAGGATGTATGCACCCAAACTTGAGACCATCAAAATCAGGGGCTGTTGGAGCCTCAGGCACCTGCCGGCCGCCAGGAGCGACAGAAGCAGCGACAAGGTGGAGTGCGACTGCGAGAAGGAATGGTGGGAAAGGCTGGAGTGGGACGGGTTGGGCGGCAAGCACGACCCTTGCCTTTACAAGCCGATCCACCCGCGGTATTACAAGAAGAAGCTGCTCAGGGGCTCCGTGCTCATATGACTCAGGTATGCAGTAATGTTTGTATGTCGTGGTCTCTAGCTACTTGTATGCATAGAATGAATGAATTACTATCTTGTCTTTCTTGCAGCTCCCTCCGAAATGTAAGCAGCACCTACTACGTACTCTGCTTGCTTCGGCCTCACCTGCTGCTGTTTCTTCCTCTTGGTGGATTGGTCTGTGCGCGATGGATAGGTGTCTCTGGTTGTGAGCTCAGCTTGTCTTTGCAGCCTGCATCTGCATCGACCTGCATTGCATTGGCCTTCCAGTGTCATGTGCTTATTTGTGACTTTGGTTTGTTAGTGGGTCCTCTGCTGTCATCATGGCATCTTACTGTCCGTCCGAGATATAAGATGGTGTGTTACAGATGGATCTCTACTCTGAGCAGTAGAGAAACATATAAATAAGGGTGAGCGAGGAGCTGTCTGTTGTTGCTTGTGCTCCCGTCTCGTCTGTGTGGTGTGGTGTGGTGTGGTGTCTGATCCACTTGTCAGGCTGCATGAGTTTGCTTCTCTCATGTGTTGTTACTTTGTTACTTTTGCTGTACTTCCGGCTACAGAATGGCTGAATGAATAAATGATGTTGTTGCTTGTGTGTAAATGTGTGTTGATCCATAGGTCACAATTTCAGTACTCAAGAGGCATTTGTGACATGGGCTGCCATCCCCAAGACTAGCTTCAAAGTTTTAATAAGGGCTATTGAAATCATCTATACCCTTGCCAATTCAATAATGTGTTGTAAGATTCCACCGAACGGTGCTCTACTGAAACAGGGAACTTATTATTGTAGTGTTCCTACCAGCATAGAATTAAAAATATCCATGGTTCTAATCCAACTTTTTAATATTCTGCTCTATATATAGTGATTTGTGCTGGCTACGCTGCAAAGACAGCAAAAGGGCCAAGCTTTTCAGGTGATACTATTTTTTATGCCAATTCTACATTGTGTAGTCAAATCCTGAGCAAGCTATGTCATACCTGCGTGGGTGCCCACGGAAGAGAGCAAACTTTTGCAACCAGGGAGAAAAATTGCTACAGGAGAGGGTATAACAGTTTTAGGCCTTCAACACAAAATTAACATCTTTAGGTGGAAGAAGATAAGAAGATTAGGCCCCAGGAGAACATCTTCGTCGAATGGTCGTCCTAAAGAGTTTTCTGTTCTGTGCGGACCCTCCAACCTGCTGAAACATGCAGCTCCAGCCTTTTGAGGCACAGCATGGCATTTCTGGAATAGATCAGCAACAGAAAAGAGTCAAGAGAGCAGTAGCCAAGTGCAGAAGCTTAAGTTTCTCAAATCCTGCAGAACAAAAAACAGATTCTGCATTGGGTACGTACGACCTGTTAGTTTCCCTTGATGACGGCCCCACCGCCCACGAGTGTCCCTTGATCCTGCTCTACTGCAGCGAATGAAAAGGTGAGAGAAAACAGACTTCACACCAGAGATCAACCTGCAACACAGGAGGAATGGCTTCACTGAGAAGAGGTAAAGCATAACAAGGCAAATTATACAGTCGACTGCAATCGTCAGCCTGTCACTCTTGAAGTTTTGAAACCCTGGAATAATAATATAACTTATTAAGTTATACTAGCAGCCAAAAAAACTAGTTTGGAACAGGGTAACAAAAAACACCTAATCCCAGTTCTATTCCTTTCCCATGCTACATGATATCATGATGATAGCTGTCATCGTGTTACTCATGCATGCATAAGATACGCCTAATTGATAATGCTACTAACAAGATACAGACATGGAAAATATACTAAAAACAGTTCCACACAGATGTTATCCCATGGCATCCCAGCTAATCCATTAAGCTTCAAACACGACAGAAGCCAGAAGAAACAGAACAATGAGTTCGTTAGTGTAAAGTGGAACATCCCTCTTCAACTTTCCTTGGACCTGTGACGAGGTAAAAGTGAACAAGATACAATTATATCAGAGAGGATGCTACCTCTAAGCTAGTATCGGATTCCAGTTTGAAAAACAGATACAATTTCCTTAAGTAAAATAAACCCCCCCAAAAAATGAAATTATGCATTTCCAAAAATGAACCTGAAATGGAAAATGCAGATATTACAATTAAAAGAAATATGAGAACCACAATATCTAACCTGCACCCAAGAATTGCAACATGCCGAAAGCAAAAGAAATCCCACAATTTCATAAGAGGTTGAGTCTGCAAATGATTAAAATTGAATGACAGCACTGAGATGCACAAATTGAAAAATGCTCTCCGAACACTAGTACACAACAACTCCTTGGAAAAGAATGAATTCCATGTGTTTGGTTCAGTGGGGAAAAAAAACTTCCACCGTAATCTAGTTTAATTTGGGTTTGACACTTTTACACTAGCAGACTATCCACAAAGGCATGTTTAGTTCTCATCACAGGAAACAAGCATACAACAAGCGTAATGTCACTACAGATCCTAGTTGAGAAAAAAGGATAATTTTCCGACAGCTCATGTTCATAAAGTTGAAGTGGCTATGCTTTATGGTGAGCCAGATTTGACAAGTAATCTTCAGATTAACCGGCCATTGAATGCAAATGGGGTCAAGTAAACAGATAGATATACTAGTTGAAAAGTATTATTTATTTTCCCATCGATATCAAATATCATGAAGCTTTGCAAATCAATTACAATAGTAAGCCCAATCACTAAACGTGTTTTGTATACTTACTCGAGGATCCAAATCGACCATGCCATGTAGTGGCCCTCTTGAAAAGCACCAGCTCCGCGACAAGATGTACCGGGGCGCCAGCTATAGATGGCCTACGAGCCGGCCCGACACGGCACGTCGTGCCTCCCGGCCCGTGCCGAACCGGGCACCTGGCCTAGCCAATGGCCCAGGCACGGCTTGTGGGGCCATTTTTTGGGCCGGGCCGGCCTGAAAAGCCCGAGCATCTTAGCAGGCCGTGCCGGCCCATTGGCTCGACGAGAGGGGAACGGAGGCGTCGTCGTCGCCTCCGGGCGCGGGTAACGAAGGGGCCTCCGCTTCCATGCGCCGCCGTGGGAGTGGATGGGGTCGCGCAGACGAGGCAGCGGCGAGCGGAGAAGGCAGCGTGGTGGAGCTTGGCGCCGGCGAGCTCGCTCCCAAGGCTGGCGTCCTCCGTGGCCGCGCGACCTCCATGTGCTCACCGATTCACGAGGGGAGACGTCGTCGCGCTTTGCTCCAACGCGCTCGCGGGCGTCGTTGTTGTCAGATCTGGTGAAGGCTGAGGCGAGGCACCCGCTGACGTCGAGTCTGGTTGAGGCGGAGGCGGATCTGGTCGAGGAAGGAGGAGGCGGGGCGACGCTTGCTTAAGCTCGGAGTGCGGAGCGGGTGGGGGTTGTGGGTGGGGAAGCGAGCGGCATGCGTGACTCGCAACGCGGAGAGGGAGACCACTCACAAGTCACAATCACAAGTACGGCGCTGATGGGATACGACCATAAGGGAGAGGGCTTTAGCAGGCCTTGTAAGCCAGTCTGGTGGGATGTTGGGCCGCTACCGGGCCTACCATTGTAGGCCGGGCCCTGCCTGCTATTCCAGGCTGGGCTAGCCCGGGCCCGCACGTTACCGGACCAGGCCGTGCTCGTGCCGGGCAAAAAATACGGGCTTCGTATCGGGCTATCGTGCCATGGGCTGCATGGCAATGTATAGCGCCAGCTACTGACGAGGGTGGCGCGGGCACAGCCCAGGACCAGCCAGTCGCCACACTGCCTTTGTAAAGTAGTGGGCCACTGGCCACGCCAGTCGACGCGCAATCGCGGAGCAGCATCCCGCCGCCACACACATTGAAAACAAACTCGAGGCGCAAGGGGGCGGATGAGGATTAGACTGGCGTTGCTCTGGACGAGACGACAGCATCGGCGGCGCATCCACCGGCGTTGCTCTGGACGGCAAGCAAGGATATTTGTCTTATTGGGCTGTGTTGGACATCCTGATCAAAGCAAACTGGGGCTCCAATTGGACTTTTGGGCTGCCTAGAGTGGTGGGCCGCTGGCCTAGCGAGCGGCAGTGGGGGGAAGCAATGGATGCCGTTGACCTTGACCTTGACTGACTTGTTCATGTTCCCGTCTCCTCCAGTCCTCTCCTCCCCTCTTCCCCAAACTTCCCGAGAGCACACCACTCCACCTCCACGGATTGAGAGAAATTGCAGTCTGATACTGGCAGCCAGCCACTATGGATCTGGTGGTGGGTGCTTCGGAGTCCACCGTGAAGTCTCTGCTGGGCAAGCTAGGCAGCCTTCTCGCCCAGGAGTACACCCTCATCCGTGGCGTCGCCGGCAACCTGCAGTACATCAACGACGAGCTGACCACCATGCAGTACTTCCTCCGCGACCTCGGCGAGGCCGGGGACGGCCGGGGCCGCGGGCACGACCACCAGATGAAGGACTGGATGAAGCAGATCCGCGACCTCACCTACGACATCGAGGACTCGGGCCACCGCATCCGCGGCCTGCCGAGCGACATGTGCTGCTACTTCCTCGTCAACAGCGTCTACGAGCTGAGGTGCTCACCTGGTGGCCTCGCCGCGACATCGCCGTCAAGATCGCCAACCTCAAGATGCGCGCGCAGCAGATCGGCTAGCGCCGCCACAGGTACAGCGTGGACAACCCCAAGAGCATCGGTGACGGCATCGGCGGAACGGGTGGTGGAGCCGCGGCGGCTGGTGGTGGCGGCGCTGGAGTCAATGCCGCCGAGAACCAGGACTCCAGCCTTAAGCTTGTCACCCTGAAGACCCCCGTCGGTATGCACAAGGACATGGAGGAGCTCGAGAAGAGGGTGACGGGGGAGGCGGCCACTGGCGTGCTGTGGATCGTTGGGTTTGGAGGGGTCGGGAAGACCACCATTGCCACTGCCCTGTTCCACAAGTTCAGGGATCAGTTTGACCACCGTGGGGTGGTGACCGTGTCTCAGAGCTCCGACATTGAGGCCATCCTGAGGAACATACTAAGTCAAGTCAAACCGCATAGCAACGATCAGAGGCAGCATGGCAGCACACCGAGGAAGAGTGCAACGGCGGCGGTCCGAGGCGTACTGAATCACGTTATGGGCGCCTCAAACAAAATTGGAGATCACACCAAGCTGGATCAACTCAAAAGTGAGCTCCAGAGCCATTTGGCAAAGCACAGGTACGTACATACTGTAAATGGGAACCATTCTTCATGTGTTTTTTTTACCTGAATGATTTACTAGAGATCCCACTCATATGAAAATTAGCTCAATACACAGTGATCCACCAAATAAAAATATTTAATCATATTATTTCTAGTTAAAGTACTGCTGGCCCTTCATGTTTTGTTTTTCTTCTCGCTACTTAACCTATTTTATTTGGCAGTTATTTGGTTTTAATTGATGATGTGTGGTCTGCAACAACATGGGGAAAAATGAGAAACTTATTTCTCCAATCTGCTGAGGACACGAAACGGAGCAGAATAATTGTTACTACACGGTTCCAAGTTATAGCTACGGCATGCATGAGACAATCAGGTGATTTGATTTATAAAGTTACTGCTCTTACTGGGGACATGCCTGAAGAGCTATTTAAACAAGCCTTCAAAGAATCCAATGGTAGGGAAGATGTCAAGGACCTGTTTGAGGTAGTGGAATCTCAGGGGAATCCTGAAGAAACTTCAGGGAAATTGGTGCTGCAAGAATCTATTACGCCACAAGCAGAGCCTAAGGTCGCTGTGGAAGTGTTGAAAATGTGTGGGGGACTACCATTGGTCATCGTTACTATGGCTGGTCATGTGGCTTGCAGCTCCCACAAATCGCCAGAGGAATGGATTGGCCTATGCAAAACTCTGATTCCAGAATCAAAGAAAGATCGTGGCAGCGATCTCACACAGGCGGAAGCAGGCAGGATTGTTAGTCACTGCTACAACGACATGCCTCCTGAAATCAAGACATGCTCGCTGTATTTGAGCATATTTCCCAAGGGTCATCAAATTAGCAGGAAGCGTTTGACAAGGCGATGGATAGCAGAAGGGTTTGTCAATGAGAAACAGGGTTTGAGTATGGAGGATGTTGCAGAAACATATTTCAATCACCTCATAAGGAGGAAGATTATGCGTCCAGTGCAGCACAGCAGCAATGGGAGGGTGAAGACCTGTGTAGTTCATGACATGATACTTGAGCACATTGTATCCAAGGCAAGTGAAGAAAATTTCATCACTGTGGTTGGTGGTCACTGGCTCATGCATCAACCTAGCAGCAAGGTTCGTCGGTTGTCCCTTCAAGTCAGTGATTCCAAACGTGCTAAGGACACAGAGAAGATGAATCTGTCTCATGTCCGATCGTTGACCGCTTTTGAGAACATGAACCAGCTGCCTTCTGGTTCTTTCAAGTTTGGTATTGTACAGGTCCTGGATCTTGAAGGATGCAAGGGTTTCAAGCAGCAGCACATAAAGGAGATATGTGACATGCTTCTTCTCAAGTATCTCAGCCTGCACCGAACTGACACTAAACTGCTTCCAAAATCCATTAGGAAGCTTGAGAATCTGGAGACTTTGGATGTAAGGGAGACTGATATTATCGAGCTTCCTATGGCCATATGCAATCTTGAGCGGCTGGTTAATATACTTGGTGGCAATAAAAAGACACACACGGGACTGAAGCTTCCAGAAGATTTGGTGAAGAAGAAGATGACGGCCCTGCGCATACTGTCTGGTATTGAGATAACTGAGGGATCAGTGGACCTTCATCATTTGATCGAATTAAGGAAACTCGCCATCTACAAGCTCAATCTCATTGAGGATGAGAAGCTCAAGGAATTAAGCTCATCTATCGAGTACCTGTGTGGCTACTCTCTGCACACCCTCATAATTGATGACATATCATCTAGGTTTCACAAATTGCTCTGTGAGATGTCCTCACCACCAAAATTCCTTAGTGCACTCAAGCTGTCTGGCAAGGTCATTAGGCTCCCTGATTGGATTGCACAACTTGATGCTTTGAACAAATTGACCCTTTCGGTAACAGCTCTTCGAACAGACAACTTGAGGCACCTAAGCAATCTCAAGGCACTGTTTTCTCTCACCTTTACACTTGCTGCAGGAAAACAGGGTCCAGAAACTCAGGCCATTTGTTGACGGTCACTAACACTAATTATAAACCGTCAACATAACCTGGATATATACTTAATTCTATTACCAAACATAGGTATAGGGGTTTAAACTGACAAATTCCACAAGTTTTGGTGAATCTGTGTTTTCAGCAGGGTTTACCCAGAAAACCGTCAAAGGAGACTTAATTGTCATATTACATCATGACTATCAGCGACGTAAACTATTTGGGAACGATCTAGAACACACCAGAAGGCAATCCACCAAAGCAGGCCTTGAGAGGATAACATGTGGGGCCGGCCGGCCAGCCTGTGGGTCCCGCTGGTCAGTCTCTGCTTCGACGTTGGTTCTTTCACTGCCATGGAGGATCAATCTACGCCGTTGCTCAATGTCGGTTCAAATAGAGGGACAAGATAGAGCCACGCTATGCATTTGTGGGCTCAATTCAGAATTTGGCCCATAAAGGCCCATGTGCATTTTAATGAGATATAGTGTAAAGTTTAGTACCAATGAGGCTACTAAGAGGGGGAGGGTGCCAAGCTCCCCTCATAAATAGCAGCCCCTACCCCCCACCCTGGAGCCATCCCTGAAACTCTAATTCATATCTTCAGTATCGAGCTAGTAATCAAGAGAAGATTAGTCCTCTACAGGATCTAGTTAAAAGCATCTAGGTCCCTAGTTGGGTTTGGGTGATTAATGACAATACGATATTACTGTGACTCACGTGTGTTTTGCAGATGCAATTAAGTTAGGTCATGGTAATGGCAATTGATTGAACAATCATGGTTGTTATGCCCCTATGATGGAAATCGTTTCGGTTTTCAAAGGATGGACGACAAGGTTAAGGATGGACTAGTTCTAAGTATCGTTTGGTGTTGAAGAGACACTTAGAGTAGTTTAGAACTTTGTTTTTCCTTTGGCCGTACTATTAAGGAGGGTATGGACGGATAGCTTGACCTAGGTGAGTCTAGTGGGTTAGGTGTGGTGCACACTTGTCAAATCTAGCATTAGGTAGCTCCTAAAAACCCCTTAGATCAATTGGAGCAAACTTCATTCACATATGATTGCGAGTTGGAAGTGAATGGAGGGTCAAATATTGACCGGATGCTGGTTCCGGTGTGACCGTACCCTGGCAAAGAGTCCGGTCGGTTCATTCGATCAAGGTAAAGTCGTCTGGATGCGACCGGACGCTGAGAGGTGAGTGACCAGACGCTGGGTGCTAGAGTCCGGTCAACTCCAGTAAGATTCCAGAGAGGGAGAATCCTAATCGGACGCGTCCGGTCAGTGCTGACTGGACGCTGGTCAGGTTTCGGCTATTGTCCGGACGCTGAGCAGCAAAGTGACCGGACGCTGGGTGCTCGAGTCTGGTCAACATCAGTAAGGTTCTAGAAGGCAGTTTTTGTGACCGGACGCATCCGGTCAGTGCTGACCGGACGCTGGTCAGTGTCCGGTCACAACTTAAACTGCTGAGTAGCGGGTGAACTGACCGGAGCATCTAGTCACCTTGACCGGAGCGTCTGGTCACCCTGTAAAGGCACATAACAGTTCATTTTGAAGGAGAGGTTATAAATACTTCCTCTATTCACTCAAGGGATTACTTTTGCTCATTCCAACAGCTAAGAAACGCCCTTGAGAGTGCCAATAAGAGCAAGGTTCTAGTGAGGTGATTGTAATTTGAGAATTCAAGAGAGAGGCCTTATTAGTGAAAGCAAGAGTAGCAAAGTGTGCATCCACTCTTCTCATTAGGCTTGTCGTGGTCAAGTGAGAGTTCGTGCTTGTTACTCTTGGTGATCGCCATCACCTAGACGGCTTGGTGGTGATTGGGAGTTTGGTGATTATCCGGCGGAGCTTGTGGATGACCCAACTCAAGTTGTGAGCAGTTATGGGTGATTCACCACGATGGAGTGTCGAAGAATCAACCCGTAGAGAGCACTTGATTCTTGCGCGGATCAAGGGGGAGCTACACCCTTACGCGGGTGCTCCAACGAGGACTAGTGGGGAGTGGCGACTCTCCGATACCTCGACAAAACATCGCCGCATTCCTCCTTCTCTCTTTACTTTAAGCATTTACTTTGAGCAATTCAATTCTTGTCTTTACATTTATAGAATTGCCATGCTAGAGTAGGATTGAAACATAGGTTGCTAAACTTTTGTGCGGTAGAACAATAGAAACACTTTCTAGGCACAAGGGGTGAAGTGGGCTAATCGTAGGGTTTAATTATTGCAAAGAATTTTAGAATTACCCCAATTCACCCCCCCCCCCTCTTGGGCATCTTGATCATTTCAATTGGTATCAGAGCCTCATGCTCACATATTTAGGCTTAACCATATGGAGAAAGATGTCTCACCGGGATGGACCTCCTCCTATCTTTGAGGGGGATGATTTTTCTTATTGGAAAATCCGTATGGAGGCGTATTTAGAAGCTCTAGATGTTGGAATACTTAGAGCCGCCTCACAAGGATTCCCAAAACCTCAGAATCCCACGCACCTTTAAGGCGATGAAGTGAACTATGAGAATTGGAATGCAAAGGCTCGAAACACTATCTTTAGAGGCCTTTGCAAAGATGTGTTTAACTGGGTGAGGAACCACAAGGACGCCCATGCACTATGGTCGGACATTTGTGCGCTCCATGAGGGAACTAAGAGCGAGCGTGAGGAACGCTATCATCTTGTTATGAAAAAACTTAATTCTTTTGAGATGCTTCCTAAAGAGAGTGCTAATGAAATGTACTCACGCTTGAATGTTCTTGTAGAGGAAGTCAATGGGCTTGGACTTACTCAAATGCAACCATCCGATGTTGTGAGAAAAATTTTGAGTGTCCTCCCCATTGATAAATATGGGCATATTATGACCGTGCTTCATCAAGGTGATCTTTCCACCGCTACACCGACTTAAATCTTGGGAAAGATCAATGCTCATGAGATGTACATGCACATCACACCACAAGATGGCTCATCCTCTATCATGAAGAAAGACAAAGACTTAGCATTCAAGGCTAGCCAAAGAGAAGGGCAAAGCAAGAATTGAGTATGAGAGCTCAAGTGATGATGAAGTTGATGATGCAAGTCTTCCTCTCATGGTGAGAAGAACCATCAAGATGCCAAAGAAGCTCAACAAGAGTGGCATCAAGTTTGATGGCAAGAAAAAGAAGTTCTTCACTAGCACAAGAAGGAAGCTTATCTCCGAGATGGATTGCTATAATTGTGGAGAACTTGGTCATCTAGCACACCAATGCACAAATCCCAAGAAAGCCAAGTACAGGAACAAGTACAAGGGCAAAAAAGATGACTCAAGTAATGAAGAAGAAGATGAGAAGAAGGAAAACAAGCCATACAAGAAGAAGGATGGCAAGAAGGACTTCCATAAGAAAAAGAAGAATGGCAAGGTATACATCATCGGTGATTGGCTCACGGACATTGATTCATCAAGTTGCTCATCCGATGATGATAGTGATAATGAGAAGGTGGCCGCCATCGTGATTGACTCTTCATCATCTTCACCGACACCATCTCCATCATCCTCTACACACCTATGCCTTATGGCCAAAGGTGAATGCAAGGTTTCAAATGATGATGATAGTAGTTGTGATGATCATGCTAACAATGATAATAGTGATAGTGATAGTGATGATGATGAATATGAATCACTTTCTTATGATGATCTTGTTAAATTGCTAAATCAATACACTAAGATCATTAGAAAAACTAAAGCTAAGAATGATTCTCTTTTAGCTAAATGCGATATAGCGGAAAAGGCTAGTGTGGAGCTTAGAGAAGTAAATGATGCTATGTCATCCAAACTCAAGGAGCTTAAATCTTCTAAGAAAGAACTTAAAGATAAAAATGATAAACTTGAGAGGATACATAATGAGCTCATCACTAGCCATAATATGCTAAAAGAAGAATACACCTCTCAAGACCAATCATGACAATCTTGTTATTGCTCAAGAATTTTTATCCAATGAGCCACATGATGCTACTAACATTGTTGTTAAGATTGATATAGCTACATCATGTGATGATTTAATTGTTGAGAGCATTGAGCAAGGATCTAGTAGCAAAGGCAAGCAAGTGGTTGAAACCGACAACTATGATGAGTATGTCAAGCTCAAGCATGATAATGAAAAACTCAAGAAAGATCTTGAAGAGCTCAAATCTACCAACACTATAGTGCTAGAAACTCTTGATCATGATGGTGATTTGATTCTTGAGAATGAGAAGTGTAACAACCCGGGTTTTTGGAGAAGCCAAAAATACAAACTTTTTAAAAATTTTCCTGCAATATGTGAAGCATGTAGATGCTAGGTCGAACTAAGAACAATTTATAAATAAATTGTTGCATACATATAGAATTACCTGTAGGAGTTTGCCGAAGATCTTTTGTTGGTTTAGTGTTTTGTGTTGGAGTGCACAAATCCGTAGCAACCCCTCTTAATTTCCTTTTGGAACATCTCATAAATCCCCGTCACATTTCTTTGAACTCATTTGATCCTAAATCAGTAAAATCACACCTCTCTGATTATTTTGAACTCCCCTTGGAATTCACTTCTCTTTATATTCCACGTGATCTCTCTTTAAAATTCATTTCAAATTCCTTGAATCAATAAAAGGAAAAATCATTTTCCCTTTTATTCCTCCAAAGCCCACCGTCCCTTTCCCTTGGCCCAACCGGCGCCAGCAGGCCCAGCCAGCCTGCCCCGCCAGCCCGCTCGCCACGCCTCCTTTCAGCCCACCCCGCCAGCACCTTGGCCCAACCGACGCCGCCAGTCGGCCGGCCCAGCAAGCCACGGCCCAGCCTGGCCAGCAACCGACGCCTCTACCAACCCTAGGCGGGAGCAGCCACTCCCAGCCGCCGCCGCTGCCCCGCGAAGGCAGAACCGCACGACGCGCACGCCAGCGCCCTCAACCGTGCCTCACCTGCTCCGCTCCCTGATTCACGCCGCGTGACCCTCCTCGGGCACGGACGCCGAGGATGGACGGAGCCCCCGCTCGCCCTAAGC